TCGCTCGCTATCGCTCGCCTTGCCCTGCCTTGCCTTGTCGCCGCAAAGTAACTGGCAAGTTTTGCTCGACGCTTGCGGCCGTGCCAGGGTCTAAATCCAATTCGTCCGGATCGACAAGGCACGGTTCCCCGTCATGGGCAATTGACTGTAAATCACGGGATCCAGCGCCGCCCCTGCTAAAAATTGCTCCTTCCCCCTGCTGCGCACACCCCTTCTCGCTCCTACCCTCCCTCCATCTGTTCGCAAACTCCACCCAGCCAACCCTGGCCCCTTTTCGAAACCTTCGAGAATCCCAAGAAGAACCGGGGCGAACAGCGGTCAGTCCAACAGCCCCTGTCCTGTCCAGCCTGTCCCTCCATTCCAGCGCCTTCAGCTGCTGACCACGCCAGGACAAGGGCCTCTTGCAGCCCCAGAAGCCCCAGGACGCCCCAGGAAGTGCGCTGGAGCTCACGGCCTACGCCGAAGGCTTGCGGGGTCATGGCAATCAACACGAGATGACGGATGGATCCTCTCATCTCTGCCATGAGGAGTTGTTGAGTGTGGTGCTGTGCTCTGGCACAAACGCACCGTTGCACAGAGTTCTCTGACCCCCCAAGAGGGCCGACCTCGACGAATAGGCGTTGACCACAAACTCTGACTACCTCTGTCTGCCGACCGACGTGCTGCAGCGCAGCCTTCAAGTCCCATCCATCCTTGGATGGATGGATTGATGCCGCTCGGTGATCCAAGTTTTGCTCAGGCCATCACCATGATGCTTTGCGCACCCTGCACTGCGCTGCGTCTGCGTACGTGATCAGTACAAATCGAGCCACCCGGACTGCTGGGTTCGACTTGTCCGTACGTTTCTGAAACATGATGCGCAAGTATCCCACCTTTGTCTCCCCCCTCGCCTTTCCTTTGTTTCTTTTGACAGGAGGTGTTGCTCCATCTGTCACTCCGTAGTCTATGACTTGGACTCGCTCCTCGCTTCGTGTCCGGTACGTATTGACAGGATGCATCAGATCAACCCAGTCCACCGGGACGCTCGCCCGCCGCCCCCTTTTCCCCTGAGGCCAACTGGCCCGCTTTGCTCTTTTGACCACTCGGCTTCTCCCCTCAAGCGGGGCGCCATGCGACGGGTTCCCAGAGAGGTAGCCTTCTCGTAGCACGAGACCTGCCGCGGGTGAATTCAGAGGTACCGACAAACACTCCTCGGGTTCCACTTGAGAGCCCGGAAGCCAGGAAGAGGGCCCGGAGGCTCGCAAGGATTCAAGGTGAAAAGGGAGGCAGGCTATTGGACGGCGACAAGCGCCCGCGCTCAACGATGACGACAATAGAATTTTGAACTCGTCCACGGCTGACGCATCGCGGCCATGGTCTCTGTCAAAGCCGAGGTCTCTGAATGTTGTGCAACACGTATGGCCAACGGGAAGAAAAAAAAAAGCAAGACCGGCACTGCTTTAGGCTTCACCGATGATATGACTCTACACTTGCAGATGCAAGGCGGATCTGGCACATACTCGGCAGGTGCCTGAAGGCGTCCACGTCGTCGGTATCCATTTGAGTCTATTTTCAAGTGCCTACTGCACAACATGCATACATATGAGAGGGAGCCACGGCGCGAGAAAAGCCAGACCGGTGCTATGCCACTTCCGTGACAGCCAGCCGCAATTTCGAAGTGGGGAGCAGGGCACAGGGCCTGGATCGAGCCACTGATTACACAGGTCAACGCGCACCTCGAGCTCGGATGCACTGGCACGACGGGAGGGAACACAACATGGGCCAAGCTGCTTGCTTCTGCACTGCGCTGCACTTGCCCCGGGCCGGCATTGTCAAACTCGGACCATGTGTACGCAATACCGGCGGGCTTCGCATGGGGAGACACGATCCCCAGCAAAGGGCGACTCCCGAGAGGTGAAATGCCTCTTACAAGGCACTCATAGTTGCATCCAGCATCTCGACTGGTTGAGACCAGGTCTTGTATCTGTGGAGTCGGCAGCGCGCTTCCGGCACTCTTGTCGTTCGGGGATGGGGGCTGACGGCCCAGCGGGTTGGGTGCGAGTGGGCCTTTGGATCACTTCCAGAAACGAGTCAGGGAGGCTACAGGCGCTGGCGTGGGCCTATTCGTGTTGCCCAATTTCCGGGCTCGAAGCCCTGACTTGAAACCACCACAACCACAAACCCAGCACATCACCGCCAGTCTCAGCTCTAAGCTGGGTTCCAGATGGGTGGCTGGAGCGCCGCACCACCGGCTCCACGTGCCTGGAGTAGGCGAAGGGTCCGGTAGGGCATGGCGGTGACAATGTCTCGGGTTCCTGATGAGATACACCTCACTTTTCAACCGCGACCCCTTGCTTCCCCGTACCCGGCTCCCTTTCCTCAACGCTCCTGGTATGGGGCTCGGGGTGTCAAGCAGGCTCACCCGCCTCGCTTACTACGTGCCAGTGCTACTATGGACATGCATTCTATTCTGCCTTCTTTGCCGCCTCTCCAGGATTCTGGTTCTCACCGAGGGCAGTGTAACTGATCGGGGAGTAGATCTACACCGTTTATTTCAGTGTTGACGGGGGAAACTACGGTCAACGAGGACAACACGTCAACCAGGCATACGCCATGCTTCCTTATTGTCATCCATGGCATGGCATGGACAGAAGCTGTCTCTGCCTGCCGGCCGGATCACTTCCAGACCATTGTCGTCAGGAAGCCTGGAAGTCTTCAAGGCTTGTGCCCCGCCCTTGCTGCGGATGATGTCCCCTTCAGTCATGGGCAGGTGCAACATCATCCGCATGAGGATTTTCTCGAGCTTGGCGGCCATCCCCAACCCGGGCATCTCGGCCCAGATAGGTCTTTTTCGGCCGACTGATACATGAGAGCACGCATCTGCTCCGAGATCATTTCGTGCTTCTCAACCTCGTCTTGTGACAAGTCAGAGAACGGGTGGCCCCGCAGCACAGCACAGCGCAGGCAGGCGTCTCATCGCTAATAATACCCAGCCTGGTCTTCCGATGTTATTCATGGAAGTTCTCGTACTGCAGCAAAAAAGCACATTGCGCGGTTGTTGCTCGTCCTGTTGTCCTGTCATTCCCGTGTTCGGATGTGACAAGCAGTGAAACATGTCAGCGGTGCGACAAGGCTACTGTGCTATAACGGTGCTGGCAATGCAGCCCAATCCCGAATGACTCCTATGTGCATCCGAGTCATCTGCTGACCATGCACTTTGTCGCGCCGCAGATTCAAACGTACCGTACCCACGCGGGATGGGATAGCATGAGACTCGGAGTGGGAGGGAGGGTCTTTGTTTGGCGAATACGTTGGGCAGTGTTGATGATGCGAGTAAAGATGACAGACTCGAGAATGACAACAGGTGAACAACACACGATGAATGGAGTCGGAATCCCCATGGGCTGGTGGTTCCTGTGGGTTGTCCGAGGCCGCGGGGGATATACTACAGTCATTTGAGAGAACTACAGTACAGGACAGGATAGTAGACCTCTCCTATCGGATGTCCTGGACCGATATCTCTACTTCAAAGGGATCTCTGCCCAGGCCGACGTCACCACACGTCGCACCGCCAAGGCCAGGAGGACGGGCCATGCCACGCCATGTGCCCTGACAATTGGTGGTGCTCGCGCTCTGTGTATCGCTGAGAGCCGTGTGGGAGTTTGGCCGTCACCGAGGAGGGTGGCTCTTTGGGCAAGTCTTCCCTATTGTTGCTCCACAGCTGGGCTGAGGCGACTCCGGGGGACGTTTCCGTGTGACCACAGGCTTGCCGCTGGGACCGTTGTTCACTTTTCACCGCCTCCCAAACCCATCATCTTTGTCAGCGGGTGCGAAGGTCAGCCTCGTTCTGGCAGCCAATGCCGTGAAGAGGTTGACTGACCGCATCGACCCTGCGTCTTAGTTGTGTCAGTCACGGAGCGGTGGCCTCGCTGCTCATCAGCAACAACAACAGCATCTCCCTGGTTGCCTTTCTGACAAGACATGATCCATCCAGAGCCAAACAAAGCCAACAGAAGCCAACAGCAACTGCGAGATTCATAGCCACGCGACGGAAATGCCGGGGTAGCACGCTTAGCGCCGTGTAGGCTCCGAATGTCGCGCCCAATAATTAAGCTCCAACCCGGCCGTCAGTCCATGGCGTTTTGCTCGACACACGTCCCCGTCCGGCTTCCGCCCTGTCGAACTGGCGAGTGCTCGGCCCCCTGCAAGCCTCCAAGGACAACAGGCACCCCTGGTCAGGTACCTGCGAGGTACATTCATGAGGGAGGTGGACGCTCGCTCGCGGACGCTCAGAGGGCCCCATCTCCTTGGGACCCAGCCCGCCAGACGACCGATTCACTTCGCAAGGCCAGTCCGCCCTGTCAACCAGGGTGCCTCTTGCAGGATGGCGTCCCGGTGCCCTGACGCCCCACTGTCCATGTCATGCCCAAGAATTTGGAGCCGTTCGCCGCATCGCCTTGGTGTTGGACAGGAGATTTGCCCTCTTGTGCTCATGTCACCGCTCGTTCCAAGCTTGGGTCTAGGTAGGTAATTAATTCACTCCAAGATGGTCCATGGTGACATGTACCCCAGTCTGTCCGGCCGGGTCGAGGGGTGTTGCTACTACCGCTCTCTTATAAGTTATCCACCCCATCTTGGATCCTTCTCTTTTCCTTCTGTGAACCTTCTACGACCATTTGCTTTATTAGTCTCCCTTCTCCCCCCGCCACCTCGAGCTCAGTTGCTCTCTCTTCAAACCTCTTGACTAGCACGAGTCTCCTATTCAGTCTATACAACAAGCACCCCTCGCCAGCTTGCTCGTGTCTCTACTATCCCACCACCACCAACAACCAGAGTTAATCCACCCTACCGACGACGACATCTACAAGGGCACTTGATGCTCTAGTATATACACCACGAAACCGACTCAGACAAACAACTTGCGGCTGAAATTGTGTCACGCAAGGAGACAGATCACATCCACCACGGGATTCGTGTAGGACGACAGAATTTTTGGGTCAATTGCATCAAATTAAGCAGATATGGGGAGGAGTCGTCACATTTCCGCGGCCAACCGCGGCCAGAAGCAGCCCCCTCCGTTTCCGACAAAGCAGATGTTTGTTCTAGGTAGGACGCCTCGTTCTAGGTTTGGCGATTCTTGAACTGACAAGGAGCAGCATGCTGCAGGATATGCGAGCCCATCGCATTCATGTCCATCTTTCCCTACATCTACTACATGATTGAGGATTTCAACATTACCGATGATTCCAGCAAGATTTCAGTCTACGCCGGCATGGTCACCTCTGCCTTTACTCTGGCCGAGTTCTCGACAGGAGTTCTCTGGGGAAGACTAAGCGACAAGATTGGACGGAAACCTGTGCTCCTGTTTGGACTCCTTGGAACTGCCATTAGTGTGCTTGTTTTTGGATTCGCCCCCAGTCTACCCGTGGCTCTTTTCGCCCGTGCTCTGGGTGGTCTTCTCAACGGGTGGGTTGTCTTTTGAAGCCATTGAGAGCGCCAGCTGACTTGAAACAGTAACATCGGTGTTCTCCAAACCACAGTCGCTGAACTTGTTACTGTCAAGGAACAACAACGTAAGTTCATTTTACCAGCTGTGGAAACTTGATACTGACTTTTACGCAGCACGCGCCTATACTATCATGCCAATGGTCTGGTGCATTGGGTGAGCGCAGAAAACCGAAGCCTCTTTGGATCGCGAGACTAACCCAGGCATTTAGATCTATCATTGGACCCATGATCGGAGGAGCTCTCGCCAGACCTTGCATCAGCTACCCCGAGATCTTTGCCCGTGGAACCATCTGGGACCGATACCCTTACCTCCTTCCTAACCTCTTCAGTGCCGCTACCGTCTTTGTTGGCGTCATTATTGGACTCCTCTACCTCGACGAAACTCATGCTGAGAAGAAGACCCAGAGGGACCGTGGACGCGAGATTGGCGACTATCTCGCCAAGCTGTTCGGCGGAGTGACCAAGTGCAACGGACGAGGACGTGCCCCTGAGAAGCAGGCTCTGCTCGACGGTGAGCGTCACGTCAGCTACGGTAGCCGCCACGGTTCTTCTAGCTCTGATGAAGAGGATGAGATTCTGCCCGCCTACCAAAGCCAGGAAAGCTCACCTCGACTTGCTCCCATGGACGACACCCGATCTCTGCAGTCCCAGCCTCTCGAGCCTATTGTGCAGGAGAAGCCCAAGACCTTCACCAAGCCCGTCATCATGAACATTATCTCATACGGCATTCTTGCTTTGTAAGTGTCTCACACCACCTGTTTCTGGTTTCGTGTCTAATCTGTTCTCGTGTAGCCACACTATGACTTTCGACCAGCTCTTCCCCGTCTTCCTCAGTACCGCCCGACCCGAGCACCCTGTCCATGACCTCCCTTTCCGCTTCACTGATGGATTCGGACTCGAGACCAAGGTGATTGGATTCATCATGTCGGTTCAGGGTCTCTACTCGCTCTTCTCCAACTACCTGATCGTTCCCCCGGTCACTCGACGACTTGGGTCTCTGCGCCTCTTCCGACTCCTGGCGTTTTCTTACTTTGCGCTGTACCTGGTCACACCGTATCTGGTTCTCCTGCCCGAGCCTATGAGGATGCCGGCCATCTACCTGCTCGTCATCTGGAAGTGTACTTTTTCGACCATGGCCTACCCCAGCAACGCTATCCTGTTGGCGAACTCGGCGCCTTCGAAGCAAGTCCTCGGCACTATTAACGGTATTGCGGCCTCGACCGCTAGTCTGTGCCGCGCTCTAGGGCCAACCCTGTCGGGACTCCTGTACTCGTTGGGCCTCCAGACTGGATACTCGGGACTTGCATGGTGGTTCAGTGGACTCGTGACCATTGTCGGAGCGTATCTGAGCTCCCAAATCACCGAGGGCGGACCCCAAGAGGAGGCGGTGATGCCAGAGGAGGAAGACCCGCTCATGGATGAGGGTCTCTTCGTGGACTACGATGGCGACGACGACAGAGTTTGAACAATCATGGATCGACATGAAACAGCGGCATACGATTTTATTTACACACCCGGCGTTTGAACGTTTCGAAACCAGCAAGCAAGCGGCGAAGGAAGGCTCGAGACAAAAACTTTGGCGACATTTCTTTTCCCCAGGATGGATCCATTGGATGGATTGTACAAAGGGCACGCACGCTTACGTCGAATAATACCCCTTTCAAAGACAGCGACGACGACGGAGCATGGAACAGGCGTTTTTGCAAAACAAAAAAGAAGGATTGATCTGCTTGGGACATTTGAAGGTTCCCTTTTTCTCATGAAATATAGACTTACGGATTGGGTTCGGCGACGGAATTGGCGACAAGTAGAAGGCAAGGAATGGATGGGAAATGGGCGGAGTGATGGGTTTCAGCAATGTCTTTTTTTTTTAATGGATTCGCTGTACGGCCGACAGCACCATGAGCAACCTGCATCGCCGACGATGAGACCCAGGGGGTCCTACGGGGGCGTTTATGTATGAGTACGAGCACAATGGTGGTCCTAGAGGTGTCGACGGCTTTGGTTTATTTCTTTCTGCTTTGGAATGGAGTGTGCGAACAAGTCTGGCTACCTCGCGGGACCGAGACTGGCGGTGTACGAAGTAGATGGTGTATCTAATTGGCAGTAATCTAAAGACTGGCCTGGCCTCATTTTGAGCAAGACGTCGATAATTGTGCAGTGGTGAATAGTGACGTGAGTTGTATTGTCTTGTCTTGTATCCGTAGGTAGTTGCCGGTCTATTCACAACCTACCTCTCTATTACCAGGTATGACAACTACACCTGGTCGCGGATCTGTTGCCGATGCGGAACCGAGCATCAGGGCCTGGTCTTGATACACATCATATGTAGAAGGACTCGCTACAAAGTGTTGTGCGCATGGTCACATTGCGTACAGCTACATGATGGCCAGGTCTCGGCGAGCAGGGAAGGCATGTCGAATTCCGCTTTCACATGGAGGGAGTCAACTTCCAAGCAAGCAAAGCAGCCCGTGCCATGCCGAGACTACCTATATCCAACCTGAATGAAGTAGGAGGCCCCGGCGAAAAGACGGTGGCCGTTGAAGCAAGCCGGGGCCGGTGGGACGGAGAAACAGGGGATAGAGGCAGCGCAGCGTCAACGACAGCCAGCAACGACATGACATGGGCGGTCAAGTCGGCATCCAATCCCTGGTGGAGACGCAGACAGGCAGAGAGGGGATGGATAGAGAGAGCCTCGGGGTCAAGTTTCACATTAAAAGAGCAGAGCAGAGCTTTTTTTTTTTTTTTTTTTTTATGTCGCAGACAAGGGGTGCACGAACCTTCATGTCAGCCCTCTAGATGCAGCGCGCGCCATGGTGTCGTTGGTTGGGCTATCCACCTTGACCGGTCTCGAAAACAGGAAGAAGAGAAGGAGAAAATTTCTGTGAATGGAAGGCCCTTGGGGTGGTTAATCCCTTGATCCCTGGCATGGGGAACAGGCAGGGTTGGAATCGAATCGGCTCTTGGAAGACGAGGAGGTCCTTGCAAAACTGATGGATGGATGCTGGCTTGGTTCGGGTCTGGACTGCACAATGGGATCTTGCAGAGGGCAAAAGCTTACATCGTATGAGGGTAGAGAGGGCAGCTAACAAGATGGATTCCAATATTTGACCCATCTGTCTTGGCTATTGTTGCACAACAGAGCAGTGCCTGTGGGTTCATTCCCAAGCACGCCCCCTTCCTCGGGACGCTTGGTCTCTTTTCCTGGTGGATTAGGTAGGTAGGTTGAAGAAATGCAGCCGCAGCCGCAGCCGCAGCAGCAGCAGAGGAGCATCTGCAGCATCTGTATCCGTGGAAGCGTGGCTTTTGACGGAGGTTGGTGGTGTGGGGGAGACTAGGAGACAGGACCCTTGTTACTTGGAGGACAAGTCTGTACACCTTTTGAAGGACGAGTTGAGAAGGAGAACAATTACAAGATGGAGAAGAATGATGAGCAGGAGGGAAATATTGAGGATCAGGTTGTGCGTGAATTGATGCTGCTCTGAGATTAACAAGAGAATGAATCAAGATCTAGATAGACGAGCGTCTTGGCTCTCGGCTATACTTGCGGCTGAGGCTGAGATGAAGCAAGCAAGTCGCCATGGATAAACACCAACACCAACACCAGAAACCTGGGTGAAACCACGGGATGCTGGTCGGTCCATCAATAGCTATGACGATGTATGAGGTTTACGAATACGGCGCCGGCATCTCGACTCGGGAATCGGAGCTCCGCCGCTGGATGTTGTGCTGCAGCCACCCGGTCCTGCGCATCCGACCCGGCCCAAGGGCGCAGAAGCCGGGTCAGACACGGGTTTTGGTTGCCTGCAGGAGTTGTGACGATGGTGACGGAGGGTTTTTGGAGTGAGATCAGCATGAGAGTGTGGGGACAAGACGGGAACGCGTGAAATAACGACATTTATACGGACAAACACGATCAGGCTGCGGATAATTGAGAGCGACTTTGCTGCTGTTGCCGTCTAGTACTTGCTTCTTTCCCGGTGTCACAGTTGCTAAGCACAGTACAGCATGTGTGTATGTGTGCGTGCGCGCGTGCGTATCATGTTCGATGAAGACGCGCACGCGGGCGATTCGATGCTGTGCCGTACATGTGTGTGTGTGTGTGATGAGTGCGTGTGTGTGTCCCTGGATGCCCGTTTTGGGGTGTGGCACCGAGAGGCGTCGGCCAAGGCACTGACTTGTAACAAGGGGAGAGAAAGGAACCAGCATCTTGGAGGACAAGAAAAAGAGGAAGAAAAAAACTGAAGCGAGCGCGTCAGATCCGGATCCTGTACGTCAATAGCCGGACCACTGTGATGATGGCGATGATGATGCCTGGAAAACCAACAGAGATAATGGAACTCTCAGATGAAGTGGGAACCAACGCCTTGTTCAAGGCGAAAGAGGCGAGGCGGAGAGAAAAAGAAAAGAAACATGGTGATTGGCATGCTTCATTGGTGTTGCGATTGAGGCTTTCTCCAATTTGTGATCAATCAACAAGTCTAGGCTTGAAAAAGATCGTCAGGGCGACTAAATAGTTACTCTCTCATCAAACCAGACCATCTCAGGTCAAGCCAAGCGAGGCGGCGAAAAGAGGAGAGGAAACTGTGAAGGATTGTTGTTTGTTTGCGATGGATGATATGTTGCTTATCAACAACCGGTACAGTTACTCGACAAGGACCCCCATGCCGGATACCATTTTATCCCACCCAGTCAGGGAGATTCTAACCAATCCGCCGGCCCAATTCCAAGCCATGGAAAAAAAAAAAAAAAAAAAGATCACAGCCGACGTGCTTTCGGCACTCCAGGCCCTTTAACCAAACCTGGACACCTGAACCCTTGTTCGACGGGCATCCCACATCCATTGAGGGATCTGGATCTGGGTAAGGACCGCCGTAAAGAGGGGGAAGGAGAAAAAAAAGAGAGGGAAAAAAGAGAAAAAAGAGGGTCCATCCAATATTTTCTTTTTTTTTTTTCCTTCTGTGTTTTGCCTGTTGTTGGCTTTTCCCCTCTTTCAAGTGTCTCGAGTCTCTGGTTCGTGACCCCCCCCTGGTCTTGTCCCATCGAAATTTTTCCTCAACGGCGCAAGGCCAACGAACAAGCACTTAGTGACGGGAACTTGGCTCTGCTTTACATTCCTTGAACCTCTTGTGTTGTCTTTTGAGACTGCGTTGGCAGCATTCAAGGACCCTTGCCTGTCTCCATCTCGCATGAAACAAACGTGACCAATTCGGACATGGACAAGAAAGAGTAGAGAAGAGAAACAATCTTGGTCATAATTTTGATTGCCACGCCGGCGGCCATCAACCACCGCCGGCCGCCACCACTTTGAGAGATTCTGCCCCCCCCCCCCCCCCCAAAAAAAACGAGATAGAGAGACAACACACACACATACATTACGCGCTACGATACGATACGCTACGGAGAGAAACAAGACAAGCTCTTTATTGCATTTCTAATGCTTAAGAGCCTGCGGTAGCTTCCCTGTCTGCACCTGCACCCGCTGTTCGGTGCCGCTAACGTTTCCCGCCGTCTCCGCCCAGGCCGCTGACGCCCTCCCTCTTACTCTCTCTTACTCTCGCTCTCTCTTCTCGCTTGTTACATGCAAAAATTCATCATTGCGCTTCTCTCTTTGGTCATGGGTCGCGTAGCCTAAGCTCCACGATAGGATCCAATTCCCATTCATTCTCCGCTCCCCCCCCCCCCTCCCCGCAGAAAGCCACGCCGGTCCGCCGCACTACTGAACCAGGACACTACCACTC